TGTCTTTATGTGTGTGTGTTATGTGTATTGCCAGCACGGGGGGTAATTCGCTGGTCAACCAGGCCCATTGGTGCCTGTCCCCGGGGGTCATTTACGTCTCTTTGGAATGTGATTGAAATTCAATGGGGAGACGAGAGTGGTGAAACTGTTCAGCATCTCCTTGATAGTGCGGGGAACCATATAAATGTAGAATCTGGGGCCAGGACTGTAATTTATATGCAAATGTCAAAAGGCTAAGAGGGGTCTCTAAAGACCTAAAACCCCAATGATCATCCATGATTTTAAGCAGACTGGCCTTTTAAGCACACTGGTCTTTTGTTTTGGAGCTTTGATGCAGTTATCATCTTCTCAAGATGCAAACAGGAAATAAACTGCTCTGGTCATGTGACAATTTGCACTAATCATGTGAAACTGCACATACTTAATTGAGACCCTTTTTTTTTGTATTTGCAGGAATTTCACTAAAACAATCAGTAAGGTTTTCAGTAATTAATCAATGAGTAAGGTTTTTAGAGCTTTGTAAATAAAAACTTTTTTTACGGTCACTATTGTGATCGGTGGGATTAAAAGGGTTAAATTAGATTGTATAATTTCAAACTTTAAAGTTAAATCAGTAAGGATATTAGGGACATGTCCTTACCAATATCCAGCTACTAATAAATTGTCCCTAGCAATAATTTTGATCAAACAATTAAATACGCATATAACTAATCACTGTTGTTGTAATTTCGGCCACATCTGAAATAGGTCATACCATTTATGAATGAATGAATGAATGATGCATTTATATAGTGCTATATTGTGTATTGCTGTACACCCAAAGCGCTTTACAATCATGTGGGGGGTATCTCCTCAACCACCACCAGTGTGCAGAATCCACCTGAATGATGCGACGGCAGTCATAGGACAACGGCGCCAGTGCGCTCACCACACACCAGCTACAGCTAGAGAGGAGAGAGAGATAGAGTCAGTTCAGTGGATGGGGATTATTAGGAGGCCATGATTGACAAGGGCCAGTGGAGGGAATCTGGCCAGGACACCGGGGTTACACCCCTACTCTTTACGAGAAGTGCCATGGGGTTTTTAATGACCACAGAGAGTTAGGACCTCTGTTTAATGTCTCATCCGAAGGACGGTGCTTTTTGACAGTATAGTGTCCCCATCACAATACTGAGGCGTTAGGACCCACACAGACCACAGGTTGAACACCCCCTGCTGGCCTCACTAACACCTCTTCTGACAGCAACCTAGTTTTCCCCAGCAGGTCCCCCATCCAGGTACTCACCAGGCTCAACCCTGCTTAGCTTCAGTGGGCAACCAGTCTTGGGCTGCAGGGTGATATGGCTGTGGCTGTGGTTTATATTTCCTGAGAAGTTAAAGAAATATGCTAGAAAACTGCACGCTATTAAGAAATACATGAGCGGAGCTAAGAAGTCGAAGTGTTTAAAACATACGAGCACAGTTCAGCTAAATGATCAAATGTACCCTCTTTAACTTTGTTGTTTTGCTGTTTTGTGTTCATCTGCTTCTCCCATTTGCTCTTTTTACATTGAATATCACTCTATATAAACTAAAACAGAGATGAGATGACTGGATACTTTCAACTGATTTCCAATTGAACTGTCAGCAACTCAACTGCAGTGCTCAAACTATTTCAAATATAGTGAATTAAGTTACAAACTTAACATAATGCACATAATGTTTCCATCTAACCTGTATTTTGAGCTGCAACTCATCATATTAATAGAGTGTTTCACTAGTTAGCAGTAGGGATGGGTCACGATTTTCGAATATTCGATTAGCTGATTTGATTATAGAATATCGGATAGGTTGTGCGATTATTGTCTTTAAAAATGTTCCCATGTTTTCCGTGCTGATGGGGTGGTGATGCGTTCATGTAAGCAGTGGATGGCGCTGCCAGTAACGCACCTAAAAGCTGTCAAAGACAACAGAATAACACATTGTCTCACGCGCACACTGTAGACTTGCGTGGCATAAAAAAGACCTGAGTAGCATATAACGGTTACAGTAACTTGGGACAATGTCAAATAAGAGTTCTGTGCAGACCACAAGCACCCCCGACTGGGTTAGAGGTGTGTTGAATCCGTAATCAGAAAAGCGCAGAAAACAAATAACGCGTTCTACGGTGCCACTAAAGGGATATGGTTAGCCACTTGTATGCGGTAGCCTGTTACATTACAGTACATAACATTTCACTTACCACATAAACAGAGTAAGGAGAGATGACTGATAGGACGATGGCGAATGATTTGCAGATCCTGAGCAGCACTGACAAACATCTAATCTTGTAAAATGTGTGGTAAGTACTGCAGAGTGCTGTTCTGTACGTGTGATTGTGAATCTCGGAAGTGAAAGTTAAAAAATCAAGCACGCGTTCATAAGCGATTTCAATGCCCCGCATATTAATAACAGCTCCCTGTTGCCCACAGTTTACATACAGTATAATTACCCAACGATATAATTTTGACAGAAGATATTGAAGTATATTTTTCCTCCTATCTCGTATCTATTCCCTTTAGGGATTAAATTTTTTTTAAATGGAAATGTCCTAGCCTTATGAGCAGTTGATTTATGCTAATCGACGGACTGTTATGTTAATAAGTGCTGCCATTCGGTTATGTTTATTATATTAATATGTTTCAGCACGTTACAATCATTAAATGGCTTATATGGAGTTATGGTAGCCTATCTTTTAAATTAATCAGTTTATCATACAGATTGAAAGTGTGAATCCTGTCTCTCTCCCTCTCTCTCTCTGTTTATGGGTGCGTGCATGCGGGGTAGGGGTGCGAGTTGCCATTGCCATGCATTATACGAATGGCAGACTGCAACGGTTGGACTTAAAAATCATCATATGTGTTCTACTGAAGAAACAAAGTCACCTGCATCTTGGATGCCCTGGGGGTAAGCAGACAAACATCAAATTTTCATTTTTGGGTGAACTATCCCTTTAATCTGTTGTTGGACAGTCAAGAAAGTCGGACATCGCTTATAATTTTCAAGGGCGTAGACTTTAGTAGAGGTGCTCTGACATGATCCTAACAATATCAGCCACTACTAAATTGTCCCTTGCAATAATTTTGATCAAACAAATAAATGTCTGTTGTCTGCCGTTATGTTCCCACCAATGCCAAAATCAAACAATGCTTTTGCTTACTTAAATTATTTAACATTTTATTATGACATAAACTTGAACACATTTTACTAATCAGACTTTTCCCAAACTATAATTCAAGAATAACATGTTTGAAAACCAATTAAACATTTTGAAATATGATTCATTGCATCTAAATGTCGTGCAATTCAAGAATGTTTTCATGCTGTATATAATATAATACAGTACTATATAAAAAGTAATACGAGTATACCTGCATATAGCCTGCACTAAACCATTGAATGACGATGGCCCATTAGGGGAGGCCCTTTGTCTCTCAGGTGTGAATCACGAGATATTCATGGCCATTGTCACTCCTTCACATACAGCCTTTCTAACACAATCATGTCTTACAAAATGTAAATCAATATATTGTTTTCTGTGAATGAGTGAACAGGGTGATTTTCACATCATTTTGTAGCAAAAACTCTAGTCAGATTGCTGGTAATCAAACAGTTCCCATTGACTTCCATATAAATGATTTTCCTACTATGGAAGTCAATGGGAACCACCAACTGTTTGATTATTTACCAGCAATCTTCAAAATATCTTCTTTTATGTTCAACATAAGAAAGCAACTCATTTGGAACGTTTGGAACGACATGAGGGTCAGTAAATGATGACAGAATTTTCATTTTTCGGTGAACTATCCTTTAATGACTGTTAGACTGTCTGGTTATTAGCTAGCAGCTCAAATTACAAATAGTTTGAATTGCATACATTGTTGTGTGCTAGGTTATTTGACCAGTTAAAGAACTACTTGTGTGTTAATAATAGTTATAAAGTTATGCAACCATTAGTCAGGAGTGTATTAAGTTAACATGGATCCCCTCTCAGTTCACAACGCTGTTTACATTGCATCTCCTCCCACAACAATCACACCTTCACTGAAGCTCCTCCCACAACAATCACACCTTCAGTGAAGCTCCTCCCACTGCAGTTCAGCAATAAATGCTGGAATATTCCCATCAGTCTACAAGTGAAGACGAGCATCAAAGCATCAGGAAGAAGTGAAATCTGCAGAGACAGAGTTTATTGAAGGGCAGAGAGAACATGAGAGATCCAGAACCCTGCAGAATGAAACACACTGAAGAACAAACAGGTTGGTGTTTATTCTTGATTCTTCAGTGATGATGAACATTAAGGTTGTAAAGCATCAAACAGTTTGTCAGATTTTGATTTGTTGTGATAAGAAAGATATACAGAGCTGTGCAATAATATAGTTGAAGCAGCAAATAGTAAGGGTTCTCTCTATAAAAACATGGGTTTTGTGTCTAATGTTTTAAAATGTTTAATAATTATTATTATTAAGTATAACTGGAAGAACAATGTACAAGAACAATGTACCTCACTCCAGAAACTTTTCAGGGACATATCATTTATAAAAATGTATCAAAATGATCAAAATATTTTGTATAGCAATTGTCTACTCCGCACTGTTATATCAGGGTTCACTTTTATGTCTTCTTTTCGCATTTCTCTCTGTGATTTGCTAAAAATTATGTTTTTTACTTTAATTTCAGAGTTGATTGAAGAAAACGAGGAGCATGAAGAACTGAATGAAGAGGAGAAAAATCACGTCAAAACTGGAGAAAAACCTTTGAGTCGCTCTCAAACCAAAGAGAAAGATTTAAAGAAAAGAAGAGCTAAGAAATCTTTCACCTGCACTCAGTGTGGAAATAGTTTGAAAAGCAAACGGAGTCTCGAAATTCACATGAGGATCCACACTGGAGAGAAACCATACACTTGTGATCAGTGTGAGAAGAGTTTTACACAATCATCACACCTTAAGAGACACATGATCATCCACACTGGAGAGAAACTGTATGAATGTTATCAATGTGGAAAAACATTTTTGTGGGCTTTAAGCCTGAAGTATCACCTCAAAGTTCATACGAAACAGAAACCACATTCATGTTCTTTGTGTGGAAAGACGTTTTCACAACTGCAAAGTTTAAAAGTTCATCAGAAGATACACACTGGTGTGAGAGATCATATGTGCTTTGAGTGTGAGAAGACTTTTATTACAGCTCAACAATTGAAACGGCACGAGAGGATCCACACTGGAGAGAAACCTTACAAGTGTTCACACTGCGACAAGAGATTCAGTCAGTCAGAACATCTGAAAACACACGAGAGGATTCACACTGGAGAGAAACCTTACAAGTGTTCACACTGCGACAAGAGATTCAGTCAGTTAGCAAGTCTGAAAACACACGAGAGGATTCACACTGGAGAGAAACCGTATCACTGCACTGTATGCGGGAAGAGTTTCACTCAGTCATCTAATCTATGCAGGCATAACAAAAATAATCACAGTCAGTAGATCATCTTCAGATGAAGCACTTTCAGGACTGACTTCTCATCCTCACCAGACGTGACACAATAATGCGTCAAGCAATACAATCTCGTCTGTATAAATCTGTCCTAAAAAAGAAACATCATCTTAAGTCCCCATGAATAAAGTTAATCTTCAAGACCAGAAGTTTCAACTGTAACATGTTTGTGGGCTTCAGCCTCTGAAGAATCACCTGAAAGTTCAAACGAAAGAGAAACCACATTCATGTTCTTTGTGTGGAAAGAGTTTTTCACAACTGCAGAGTTTAAAAGTTCATCAGAAGATACACACTGGTGTGAGAGATCATATGTGCTTTGAGTGTGAGAAGACTTTTATTACAGCTGAACATTTGAAACTGCACCTGAGGATCCACACTGGAGAGAAACCTTACAGCTTCATCTGTCAGATTCAGATCAACTCAAAGATGGAGTTGCTCCCCAAAGAACAATATCCAAAAGTTTTATTCTTGTCATTTTACTTCATGATTTTAATTATATCATTGTGTTTTATGAGTTTCATTCATCACTTGTAGTTTGTTTACTCTTTTTATGAAGGAATTTTTTTTACATGTGCAAAACGTTCTTATTCTGGAAGCTGAAGAAGAATCTGTAACTTTTAAACTGACATTGATTTTTATCCTGTTCTTCATTGTTGTTTTTAAATCAAGTAGATATTCTTCAATTTATGATGTATTTAGAAAATCCAAATGCAAGATGTACTGTAGCATTGCAACCGATCCTCCTTTGCTCGTAAGTAGGGATGGGTTCCAGAACCAGGTGCTTTGGGTACTGGAGGAAGCACTTTTAATTGGCTATTTTTTGTATTTGCTTTGAGTGATCATTGAGTAAATGTTACCTCTGTATTAATACATGATATTTACCACTTACGGTTTATCTGCAACTTTTATTGTCTGCTGATTGTATTTGCATCAGTAAAAAATAACTTTATAATTTTAGCTGTATCTGAAAGCCATTAGTATTAAGTCTGCTTTGTGGGATTCTGTTTTAAATTTCTCAATAAAGATTTTAAAAGCCTAATAAGCTACAGTTGTGCACATAAGTTTACATACCCCAAAAGTGAGATCTGCTGCTGATCCAGAATGGCTTGTTTAATGAGTGTTTATAGTCTGAGGCTCATCAATATTATCAGCTGCTGAAAATCCTCTTTATTTCATGATAATAGCCCCTGTTTTCACCTCATTTATTATGCTGATGACTTCAGATCTGTTAATTGCAGCATTAAGCTCGTTTTATTAGTGTCAACAGACTTAAGGTGTACATTTATTATTATTTTTTCTTCTTCTTTTTTTTGTTAACTTGGCAACACATACCTTATGAAAACTAACCCCAAGAAACATGGTTACTAGAGTTGAACCATGGTAACCACAAATGAACCATGGTTTTCCTACACTAACCACAGTTTAACCATGGTATTTGTAGTAAAACTGTGGTTATACAAAAAAAAAACTTTTACTGTAATAAAACCATGGTTCATTTTCTCAAGGGATTTGTATTTGTGTATACTTTATTTCTTTGTTTTGTTTTTATAACTGTACTGTATTAATGATTTGAAGTTTTGTACTATTAAATAATAATATAAAAAGAAATCAGAAAAAAAGATTTACAAACCCAGCATCATATGATTCGCAAAACGCAATCCAATTGGAGCACTTCGAAACAGTGAATCATTTTGCGATGTTATGGTTCAACTGATTCAGAGTTTCAAAAAGCTCAGTTTGTTTGAGTTCAACTTTTGTTTGATTGGCCGCCGTACCTACAATGACTGTGCACTGTGTAAACAATGAGTGACTTATACACACCAGAGATCACTTCCAGCGCTTGCGTAAACTACGCCAGAGCGCGTACACACCTCATGCACCGGATGGAAGTTGGACATAGTAGTGTATTAGAGGTAAAAATATAAATACTGTTCGGTTTCTGGCACAAACCTATCATTTCGTGTCTTAGGACATCAATGTGTCGTCACGAGCCGCAGAGTTTAATTTGGATTTTACTCTCATAGATTTTGTTGTTCTGTTGTTTGAGCACTTCATATTTAAGGAGAGAACTATAGTTTCCAAAGTCGGACATCGCTTATGATTTTCAAGGGCGTAGACTTTAGTAGAGGTGCTCTGGCATGATCCTAACAATATCAGCCACTACTAAATTGTCACTTGCAATAATTTTGATCAAACAAATAAATGTCTGTTGTGTGCCGTTATGTTCCCACCAATGCCAAAATCAAACAATGCTTTTGCTTACTTAAATTATTTAACATGTTATTATGACATAAACTTGAACGCATATTCCTAATCAGACTTTTCCCAAACTATAATTCAAGAATAACATGTTTGAAAACCAATTAAACATTTTGAAATATGATTCATTGCATCTAAATGTGGGGGGAATTTGTAGCGTCTGGAACACTCCAACACACAATATATATTTTGTTAGCTAGATTTCACAAATACTTTGTAACACCCCAGGACGCCGAACAAGACCCTGGTTTCATGGTAACCCGATACATTTACAACCTTGTGGAATGCGAGCCGGCTCTCATTCTGTTTTCTCCAGAAACAAGGGGTACAAATAAACAGGAGAAATGGACTGTTCTACTAATTAATTCATAGGAAAACCTTCTGGGCATACCAAAAGATGTGTTAATGTTCTTAATTGCTATGAATGCAGTTATCAGGAATTTTAACAATGTTTAGATTTATATGCAAAAATTGTAATGGTTGTGTCTGTCTTTATATTGCCTGCCATTTTTTCTGTGTCATATTATGCAAGTAATCATATAGCCTAGTGTTTTAATAGAGCAGTTGTATTGTCTTTCAGAAAATATCCTTGCACAAATAATCAGTTTCTATCAGCAAACACTTTTTAAAAAAAGTGAGATCTGCTGCTGATCCAGAATGGCTTGTTTAATGAGTGTTTATAGTCTGAGGCTCATCAATATTATCAGCTGCTGAAAATCCTCTTTATTTCATGATAATAGCCCCTGTTTTCACCTCATTCATTATGCTGATGACTTCAGATCTGTTAATTGCAGCATTAAGCTCGTTTTATTAGTGTCAACAGACTTAAGATGTACATTTATTATTATTTTTTCTTCTTCTTTTTTTTGTTAACTTGGCTACACATACCTTATGAAAACTAACCCCAAGAAACATGGTTACTAGAGTTGAACCATGGTAACCACAAATTAACCATGGTTTTCCTACACTAACCACAGTTTAACCATGGTATTTGTAGTAAAACTGTAGTTATACAAAAAAAAAACTTTTACTGTAATAAAACCATGGTTCATTTTCTCAAGGGATTTGTATTTGTGTATACTTTATTTCTTTGTTTTGTTTTTATAACTGTACTGTATTAATGATTTGAAGTTTTGTACTATTAAATAATAATATAAAAAGAAATCAGAAAAAAAGATTTACAAACCCAGCATCATATGATTCGCAAAACGCAATCCAATTGGAGCACTTCGAAACAGTGAATCATTTTGCGATGTTATGGTTCAACTGATTCAGAGTTTCAAAAAGCTCAGTTTGTTTGAGTTCAACTTTTGTTTGATTGGCCGCCGTACCTACAATGACTGTGCACTGTGTAAACAATGAGTGACTTATACACACCAGAGATCACTTCCAGCGCTTGCGTAAACTACGCCAGAGCGCGTACACACCTCATGCACCGGATGGAAGTTGGACATAGTGGTGTATTAGAGGTAAAAATATAAATACTGTTCGGTTTCTGGCACAAACCTATCATTTCGTGTCTTAGGACATCAATGTGTCGTCACGAGCCGCAGAGTTTAATTTGGATTTTACTCTCATAGATTTTGTTGTTCTGTTGTTTGAGCACTTCATATTTAAGGAGAGAACTATAGTTTCCAAAGTCGGACATCGCTTATGATTTTCAAGGGCGTAGACTTTAGTAGAGGTGCTCTGGCATGATCCTAACAATATCAGCCACTACTAAATTGTCACTTGCAATAATTTTGATCAAACAAATAAATGTCTGTTGTGTGCCGTTATGTTTCCACCAATGCCAAAATCAAACAATGCTTTTGCTTACTTAAATTATTTAACATGTTATTATGACATAAACTTGAACGCATATTACTAATCAGACTTTTCCCAAACTATAATTCAAGAATAACATGTTTGAAAACCAATTAAACATTTTGAATATGATTCATTGCATCTAAATGTCGTACAATGCTGTATATAATATAATACAGTACTATATAAAAAGTCATATGAGTATACCTGCATATAGTCTGTGTGACACCCTGTATGTGTAGACAGGAATAATTTGATTTTTTCCATGTATTTGATTGATTTATGTATGTATTTCAGTTTAAATGTTCATATTGTGTAACCAATGGTTCGCTCAACTATTCAGTTATACAGCACATACGAGAGAGACTGTAATATATTGTGATGTAAAGGAAAAAGGTATTGAGTTAGATGACAGAAATACAGATTGAGTGTAAGAAAACTCAGAGTTATGCAACACGTTTATTAGTGTTTGGTTTAAGTGAGTCACAGGTAAGGTGACATAAGACATTGTGATTTAATTATACAATCTTTGAATTATTGTAATAAAGCATGACAAGAGCGACTCCATGACTGAAAGCAGCACAACTGTGTCTCTCTTTGTTTATTTAAACAGAAAACTTACTGCAGCACCACCAGTCGGATGGCGGGTGTGCTATAGATTTTGGGGGCTCGTCCGGGATCTAGCGCCACCTGCTGGTACGCGGATCCAATGCAAATGAACCACAGAACGGCTGAGTGATGGGTAATCAGCGCAAGGACCACAAAGGGCAGCTCGACGGCAGCAGGAGAATCAAGGCTCGGCAGTGAAAGCATTTCCTGGCTGAGGAGGAGTAGTGCAGCGTGGTGCGAGCCAAGTGTGAACCCATCAGTATCAGGATCGTCTACAAGATGGCTTCTAGCGAGAGAAAAGTAATGGTGTGGGAAATCAATAAAAGACTTCATCAGCTAACCCATGATGAACTGATCAGCCTGATGGATTGTCTGGAGCCAGCTACAGACCCAGATAGACACAGGTTGGATATAACTGATGAGGAGTGTTGCTTTGAGTACATTGTTGATTACATGGCCAGTGACTCTCTTCTTGAATTAGAAGATGGGGGGTTGGCGCAGCTGTTACTGTTGAAAGACAATGTTGAGTTGATAATCCAGAAACGTAAGGTCAGATCTGCTTTGCATGACACTGAGTCATTTACACCACAACAACAACAACGTGCACTTACCAAACACACGCAGACACAACAAATGGAATATAACCGATTGGTAGATTGCTATGAAGAGTTAGGGCAAAAACTAGCACAATACAAAATTGATGCTAACCCAAGT